AGATCCGAATACTCACGCTCTGAAAAAATTCCACGAGTTCCTTCGCTTTATCGGAGGTTTCATGCGAACTTCTTTTCGCTTCAGCAGCCATTTCATCCAGCGTAACTTGCAAAAATTTCGCCATCTTCAGTTTGATACGAAAAGTTTTCTTCAACTTTTCTTCCTTCTCATTTTGACTCTCAAATGTAGACGGCAACATGTTGGGGAAGAGCCACAGCGCTACAGGAAGCAGGAGTTCCATGAATGGAACAATTATGAAGATGGAGAACGGTAGTAGCCGAAACAGATCAGATACTGTCCGAACAAGCTATAAAGAAATGGTTCGAGATTCCCACCTGGGCTAACATTGTTCAGAAAATTGCTGATTCTCATTACCTGCTGATTCTCGCGCCGTGACAACGTTTCGCCTCGTAAAATTTTTTTCACGTATTTTTTGCACACGCGCACGTTCAGGAACAGAAGGCGGAAACCGTGGTAATAATGTGCGGCCTCTTTCTTAATACGTTCCCATATTGAAGGCTTCAAAGCTGTTGCAGGTACAGACGGCGGTGCAGCCAATTCGCCAGGTTTCGAAAGCTTCTTTTCATCTTCCAACGCCGGCCCAGCTTTTCCGTCAGAAATATCCTTCTTTTCTTCTTTCAAGGCATTGACAGCGCTTTCTAATTTTGACGACGGTTTATCATCCCCACACAAGGGCGCATATGAATGGAAACCACCAATCCGGACGTACGAAAGCCTAGCTGTAAGAATTTCCGAATTCACACGGAAATGTGCACTTGATATTGCTTCTGATTCAAAATGAGAACATTTCGCTAGCGTAGAAAATCGATTATTGATCAGGAGAGAGCGTCGCACTAGGCCATGACGAACTCTTATTTGTTGGAAGGTGGCACAATAAGCTCCGGACATCATGCAATCGCGGAGGAAGCCGCAGTCGATCGAAAATCAGGCAGGGACTATTCTCTGCCTTGAGGTATCATAACAACCACCCAGAAGTCTTGAGATCTAATGAATCATTCCTGAAAAAAGAGAAATCAGACTTTTAAATGTTTTCAGCACAGG